TGTGCAACAAAAAATCAGCATTTTAAACAAAAATATGCACATATTTCAAATATATAATTATAATTTGCAGTCTTGAATTCCAAAAAAATCTGTCTTTTATTAAACATTATCAATAACGCAAAATTAGTTTATAAAAAATCGTTTTTATAGCATTTATAGCGTTTCCCATGTACAACCGGTACGGCATTTTGTAACGCAACCTGAAACAAGGCCTCGTTCCAGGTTAAAGTTAAATTTAGCGCATTTTTTGGTTTTTATCAAATAACTCAAAAAATTTATATGAAACTACCCCTTTTCAGTTAGATAGGGTGAAACTGGATAAAATTTACAACGTTTTGCAGAGAACACTATTATATAGTCCGATATAAAAGTTTTGAATAAATCGACTTTGAATTCGATATTTCATTCTTTAGCAATAAATATAGAAAATTCGGGACTTTTTTTGTTTTTTCTCAAATAACTTTTAAATATGTATTATATGATAAAGTTTGATTACGTATTTAGTTTTTATGTAAATACAGCACATTTCTTTGCATTTTTTTCAAACTAGATATGTATTTTTTGCAATCATTTCCAGTCTAGTCAAAATTTGTCCATTACCGCGTCTTGTGCTGCAAAATTATCATTTATACCATATGTATGTATCTAATTTATTCCCATGAATTGTAGTCCTGTAGTAAAAAAGAAGAGCTATAGCCCTCTCTAGTACATTTTTATAGCCCGAGGGGCACACAATTGCAATATGCTGCTGCCGCCTCCTATTTTTTGTTTTTTTCAAACTGGCGGAAAGAAAAATGCAGACGAAATAAATTATACACGAGAAAGAAGGAAAGTATTTTTATTTCGTTAAAATTTATAACGCGGATTTAATGAAGATATCCTAGGAAAAGGATACATATTTGGGTAAACTGTAAATTTGGAGAAGGAAAGGTACACGTAACACAAAGGGTTGAATTTTGGATTTGTAATAAAAATCTTTAAAAATATTTACAGATACAGATATAAGATTAAATGCTCTAATTGCAAACTTTTTTATATCGGAGAAACTAGCCAAAACCTGAGTAAACGCCTTCATCGACATAAAAATAACTCAAAAAATCCCAAACAATTTAAGACGATGTTAACCGAACATATTATCAATTTAAACCATAATATAGATTTTTTCAACCCAAAAATTTTTAAAAATGTTTATGGATAACACTATCAAAATTCTAAATTATATGCATGTGGAGAAATTGAAAATAAAACAAGATTATTTATTTAAAGAGCTGTTCAGGACGCACTTTGTGTACTACGACCTCATAATTTTAGTATGTTGTTACTAAATATATTTACTAAACTTAAAAAATATTTATTTATATGGTTCCTCAGTGAAAAATTTGAAATAATTACAACTCTGTGAATAAAGTATGTATGCAATATGGTTTTGAAACGGCAACCACATTATTTGGAGAGCTATTCAGGACGTACTATTCGTACTACAACTTTGAAATTACAGTATGTACTTACTAAATGTATTTACTCAATATAAAAAATACTGAAAATTATAAGTTTCTAACAAAAAGTGTAAAATATTTGCGTCTCTTTGAATAAAGTACATTAAATTGCCTTGTATTATTTAGGAATCTGTTCAGGACGCACCGTTTGTACTACAGCCCTGTAATTTGAGTATAATGTTCCTTACAGTATTTACTAAACACAAAAAATACTAAAAAATATAGTTCTTTAATTAAAAGTACAAAATATTTGCGTCTATCTGAATAAACAATCTAAAATACCCATGAAAAACCTAAACAATTTAAGACAATGTTAACCGAACATATTAATAATTTAAACTATAATATAGATTTTTTCAACCCAAAATTTTTAAAAATGTTTATGGATAACCCTATGCATAATATGCAAGAGAAGAGTTTTAAAAATATTATTTTTCTTTTAAAAAAAATTAGGAAATGGGAATTTTTGTAGAAGTCTGTGTTTGTGCAGGTATGTGCCTAAAATAGTAAAATTCGGAGGCTTTGTATGTTCTTATCCGAGTATATCATGAGGGTAGTTTTATTATATATATATATATATATATATATATATATAAATTTCGTCCGTCAACTGCCTACAGAGTATGTAAAGATGCTTTGTAGAATATTTTGTAGGTGGCTTCCCTAAAGATGAAATTTTGAACATAAGTACGTGACTCGAATTTATATTTGGACAACATTTCATATCAGAGGATCCTTCTATCCTATATACGACTATATTGCCAAGACTGCTGGCCAAATAATATATAGTACCAGGATACCTACAGAATTACACACATGCCCATACACACATTCATATACCTATAAATTTATATATATATATATATATACTATGATGTATTTATACGTGAACTAAATGAGTATATAATATTTATCATTTTTTAATTATTTTGCAAAACAAAATTAAAAACTAAACCATTTAATTCAATGTTCTACGTACTTTATTCAAATAGGCGCAATTTTTATATAATTTATGTTAGAAAACAACGATGTTTAGTAATTTCTGTATTTAGGTAATAAATTAAAAAACATCATACTTGAATTACAAGATTGTAGTACAAACGGTACGTCCTGAATAGCTCGTGTAATAAGTTCATTCTAAATTTCAAGAATACTTTGCGTACTTTACTTAGACGGATGCAAATATTTTGAACTTTTTGTTAAACAAC